GCTAAACGTTTAGATTCCCAATATGTGATCAGCTTAGTCTTTGGAGCTGGTCAGACTGGCTGTGAAGTCACGGGACTCTCTTGCTCGAGAGGACTTCAGTGGGAACGTCTGTTGGTAACGTGATGCTTAATCGGTCATTTAGCAGGCAGTAAACACTGAGCATTTGGGTATGTAGGAGGCAGCACTTTTCAAACACAGCCCATCTATTCTAATCAATACAAAATTTTAGGAAGTACCAACCGTTTCTGGCAGAGGTACCTCCAGCTGCGTCCCAGCAGGAGCCATTACAGCAAGAAGAGTGTCTCGACTGAAGGCATTGCAGATGTCTTCATGCGTGACGAATTTATAAGTGGAGACGTGTTAAGTAAACAGAAGCAGGATTACTTATGGGAGGAAAATAGAGACAATAAAACTAGAAAAACAAGACTGTGAGCATTGTGCACCTCAGGATTAGCCTAACTGTGAATTCACAAGAAACTGACAATAGCAAATATATTGACAATCCTCCGTTTATAAAATGTTCTTAAAAAGCAAACTATGGTAAAACAGATCAAGTAAAAGTGTGTTTTCCTCTCAAATGAATAAATGTGGCCTCAGGAGGGAACTACAGAGAGACACACATATTCAAGATCACAAAGAAAAAGTCTAATTTACACTTAATATGCTCAGTCCAATCGTAAGGTGCATTTTAAAGTAACTGGTGTAAATACATATACAAGTACAAGCAAAGAAACTGCCAGATGGCATAAAAGGATATGGGCTGGTGATGGGATCGTGGTTGATATGTGTGTTGTTCTCCTCGAGCCATGCCTTCTGGAGGTCCAGCTCTTTCTCTTGGGCCTCCAGCTCAGAGATTTGGGCCTTCAAAACCTTCAACTGCTCCAACACCTCCTGAGTTTGGCTGCCTGAGTTCTCTCCCCTGGATGTAGAGAAGAAATCATGTGGTAGCACAGCACAAGCTCAGCAACGAGTCATATATTAGTAATAATAATAATAATAATATATTAATTTTATATAGCGCTTTTCTGGACCCAAAGACGCTTTACATTTGGGAGGGGGGGTATACAAACAAAACAAAACAAAAAAACAAACAAAACAAAACAAAAAACACAACAGAAAAGCAGTCAGGAGGAAGTTGATTAAGAGGGGGGGGGCTTTATAGATAAAGAGTTGAAAAGGGGGTTTTGAGGCGGGACTGGAACAGGGTGAGGGACTCAGACTCACGGAGGTCTTGGGGGAGTGAGTTCCAGAGCTTCGGGGCTGCCACAGAGAAGGCTCTGTCCCCGAAGCTCCGGAGTTTGGCCTTGGGGATTGAAAGCAAACCGGCTGAGGTGGATCTGAGGGACCGGGGTGGTTGGTAGAGGGTGAGGAGGTCAGTGAGGTAGGGGGGGGCAGATGGTGGAGGGCTTTATTAGTGATGGTTTTCTCCATATATTAAGGCTTAAGTGGCTCAGTCAGTAGGGGCTTAGACTGTGAGCCGTAGGGTCGCTGGTTCAAGTCCCCGAACAGACCTAAATATGGAGTGGACTGCTACTTGGAGAGGTCCCAGTTCACCTCCTGCCCTGTCGTGGTGCCCTTGAGCAAGGCACCGGACACCCCCCTTCCCTCCTCACTCCCATTGCTCCCCGGGCGCTGTGCAATAGCTAAAAAAGTGCTATTGCTGCTCCTAGTATAGACTCCTGGTACTAGGATGGGTTATAAGCAGAGAACATGTCACTGTGTGCTCTGCATGTGTGACCATTAAAGAGGGTTTCATCCCTCTCATTCTAATCTAATCTTATAATTAGATTTGCTTTCTAAAAACACAGGAAACACGTTTCAATGTAATGCCTAAAGGTGAAAGATGATACTTTTCATGCACAGTAGCATAGAAGTGCAATAAAATGTTTCACTTTGACAACATTCATTTATGAAAACATTTCGAAGGCAATTGCTTATCAGTAAGAAAGTGAATGTTTGACAGATTTGAACATAAAAATAGTTTTTTCAAACCTCCACTGGATTATGTTCTTTTTTTCTTCTCAATCAACCCGACTCCTTCCAGTACGTTGGTAATGTCGTATATCCTCCTCTTCTGTCTCACTGCCAAGCTGTCTGCAGCCTGTCAATTCAGACATCTCAATAACGAGTCTTACAGAGTGGCAGCTTAATATTGTTGACAAGATACATCACAGATACATTTACCAGGCTTTAACAGGACTCCCACTATCTGGGTGGTAAACATTTATTGATGTGAAAAGAGAGAGACTCAAACAACGGCGGCAAATGAATGATTTGGCAAATTAAGCTGCACAAACAGAAATAAAACCACTTGGCAGAAGAGGACAGTTATACAATAGCAGAGGAGGAAGGAGGAGGGAAAGGGTCTGAGGAGCCCGCTGTGTAAACATTACACAGCTTTGGCGCGCAAGAAGGAGGGAAAACTACCTATTTGTGTGATGGTAAGAAAGTAGATGTGTGGAAGAAGATACTTCAGTGGGGTCTCGCAAAGATTCATCCACAACTTTATGTTTTAGTGGAAGGGTTTTCTAGCTGATAGCAGACTGCCATGAGAAAACCGAACATTTTAAGAGATGTTAGGAAGGATACTTTCAGAACAATATGTAACTGCAACTATTGATCAACTTTTCTCCTCCTCAATTAATCTTCTGATCATCTTTCCAATGACTGTTTAGTGTATAAACTGGTTTCTTTGAGGCGACAAACATACATTTACCAATGTCACATGCTGCATCAGATTTGTACAGTCAAAGAGAACAACAACGTTTTGTTTTAAGGTGTTCCAAAAAGTTTTGGAACCAGTTCAGACTTGTGTCCAACTGTTGTCTGTGACACCAACGATGGGTGTAATCTAGCATTAGAGTCACAGTCAAAATAATTTCACACTGATTAGATTAGATGTATTTCACTCGGGTTATACTAAAAGAGGATCCATATTAAATGTACTTAAATGAGAATGCCTACTTCAGAGGCTAGATTTAAGCAGTGGTGTAATAAGTACTAATACTGCAGTGTAAATACTCAGTTATAAGTAAAAGTCCTGCATTCAAAATGTTACTTAAGTAAATGTACAAAAGTTATGCAACCAAAATACTTGAGTGCCAAAAGTAAAGTACTCATTATCCAAAGTGGCCTTTTGCAGAATAATACATATATTATCACGGGTTTATAAAAGTGAAGCATTAATGTAGCAGGATGAGATAGCATTAATGACTTTCTGTACTGCCAGGTATATCCATCCATTATAGTACATCAAGGTGTATTAGGTCATTTAACTTTTGTATTAATATAATAAACTCGCAAAAGTAACTCGTAACTAATGTTGTGAAATAATTGTAGTTATTAAACATTCCAAGATTTCTTTCCAAACTGTAGTGGAGTATTAGTATAAAGTATCATAAAATGAAAATACTCAAGTAAAGTAGTACAAGTACCTCAAACATGTACCCAAGTACTTGAGTAAATGTACTTAGTTACTTTACACCACTGAATGAAACATTAAAGTATTAAAAAAAATGAATTAAAATTAGCACAAAATACACCTTTAAGACTCAATTCAAAAGAGGATCTATATTTAAATATAGTTTAATGAGACTGCCTCCCGATTTCAAGTTTGTTTTCTTTGAAGTGTAGATATGTCATCCGAGAAATAAATAATATTCAGACCCCTAGCCCTACTTTAACTTAAAAAGTGACAGTATTAAGATGGTTTATCTTAATAAACGTTAATAATGTAACTCCAAACTAGCTTCACAGACACCCTATGTAAACAGTTGTTCCTGCTTGTGAGTCGGTGTTACTGAACCCACCAACAAGGAGCTAATGGCGGCTAGCCAGACCACCTGTTAAGTAAATCAATGCACCTGACCGGCCCCGTTTGTGACTGACAGCCCTTTGTTCCCAGGTGGCACACGGGTTAGTCCCCCCGAAAACAACAGAGAAACAGCCACCCTGAGCCTGCTCTCCTCTCCGTTTCACTGACCACTTTCAAATCCAGGACGCCATCCTTCGCTTCTTGAAGCAGACTGACAAACTTCATCGTGAGGAGCCCCAAACTTTTCTCGTGGCGACTCGGTGTCGAGCGAACAGTCTCCGTCATCTCCAACTCCATCTTCCTTCTGTAAAATACTTCCTTTTAAAGTCAAGCGTCTGTTTTTTAACTACCAATAACAACCATTTCTGTCCAATAAAGCCTCTGTTAAAATAAACTCGACTGGTCGACGGCTGGCCAGTACCTGTTGGATTTTTAAATCAACGGACGTTACGTTAGGCTACTGTTGCCATGGCAACCGCTGTCCTGCTCGCGACACCCCTCCTCGACCAGAATTTGGCCCCACCCCCTCCGCCCAATCAATCCTCAACAATGTGTATGGACCATAGACTGGTATGGACGCCAAGAAGAGTCAAAATAAATAATAAAGTAAAGCCAGACATACTCACGCCTGGTTAAGTATCTCGTACTTCACACTGCTAACTATTTTATCACTTTGAATAAGTCAAATTATGATGCAGGAGTTATAATTCAAGTCATATGTTTAACTTCCATTACATTTGACACTAAACTGACTTTCAGAACACAAAAGCTATCATTCACAGCATATATAACTTGAGTACATTTTAACCTAAAGTTTAGTGTGTTATCCTGTATGCTTACTGGACTGTTAAAGGGTTTTGCTTTTTATAGATTTATTGTATACACATCTGTAACTTCAACAAAGTAAACCCAGATAAATATGTCCATTCTTAATACTCACACTTTAATTACACACCCTTACCATGATTACAATTCATGGTTTCTCTAGGTTTGCAATTAGCTGTATATCTGTTTAGTTTAATTTAAGTGCAAACACAACAACATAGATTACGTAGTAGGCCAACTAGCGAAAATGTTCTTTAATAAAAAGAAAGAATATACTCGAGAGAGAATTTATTAGATAAATCATGATATACTAAAATACATAAATAACTTAACATAAAAAACACTTGTTTAAAAAAAATGTGTTTAAATTCAAAAGCTGCCATGGCAGTAAAGAGGTCACATGTCATGTGTTAAAAGTCTTTAAGTACACTTGTGAGACGTTTCATTTTCTCTTCCATCATTCTTTTGGTGGTTTCCGTCTCTTCCAGGAGCTGACGCATCTCCTCCTCTACATCATATACCTGAGGAGACACAGATATACAACTTGTCTTAAATTGTTCAACATGAGGTTCTCATACAAACTATCCTGTCTATATTTTACCTTCTGATTGGCTTGTTCAATCTTCTTCTGCTTATCATTTGCCAGTCGTAGCAGCTCAGCTTGATGAGAGGCTTGACCAGACTCTAGCTGTCGACGAAATGCATCATCCACACAGTGTAATTTATCTACTGCAGCTCTGCAAGACAGACAACAGATAAAACATAATGTTACAAAAGGAACTAAGAGGATGTTGACCTAACTGCCTTGTCAGGATATTAGGATGGACGGTACCAGAAAAAAACACTGACGAACAAACATATGTTTTATTTTAAATGACATAAGTTACATGCTCTTTATCAAAGGCACTAAGACACCCTGATCATAATTTCACTTTATACCTAACATGTAAATACAATTAATAGTCTTCAGAGTTCTCTATCTTTGGGTTTTAAGAGAATGATGGAAGAGCCATGTATTTAAGAAATACTGCTTACTGGCCCAGAAATGTCCAAGTGAGATAAAGTATGGTCCTTTAAGGCAGGGGTATCAAACTTAAATGTCATCGCGAACTACATCAGTATTATGGTTGCACTCAAGGGCCGGGTTGTAACTATATAAATATACATATAAAATATACATAAAATAATGTATTATATTACATAATTGCCTCTGCATTGGATTATTATCGGATATGGTAATAACTTCATAATTAACTACGTCTGAAAGCAGAAGTCCAGGGCAAATAAGTGCAAGTCTTTTCAGTGCGCATGTCACAAAATGAGATGCATTGTGGGACATGTAGTTTATGGACAACGTGCTTCTGTAAAGCGGCATGTGACCAAATAATAAACGTATTATATTCTTTGCAAGCTCTTGCGGGGCTACATAAAATGAAGTTGCGGGCCGGATTTGGCCCCCGGGCCTTGAGTTTGACACCCCTGATTTAAGGCTTTAGATGAAAGCAATTAAACTGCTTTCTTGACAGTGTAAATGACTTCCCTCTCCTCCAGGATTAAAGAAAGCAGAATGGCTGTCCTTACCTGTCCACAGCAGGTGGATTGGACCAACATGTGCACATCGTACATATGGAAATACAGAGTCAAAACTGTATTATAAGGTTTGACTGCTTTTAAAATTCTTCTTGTGACTGATTTCATGCAGGCTAATTGGTATTTCTACAAAAGAGATGCAAATACATCTAAAATAAGCTATTTTATCAAATATAATTAACTTTTACTTGATAACTACACGTTATATTTGTCTCATGTAATTGATCATACTTTTGTGCTTCGATTGCTCTATCTCTTTCTTCCAGCAGCAAGCGTTCCTTGGAATCAAAGCTCTCCTTCATGCTCTTCACCTGGCTCTCCAACCGAGTCAGCAGGTCGGCCTTCGCCTGCCACTTCTTACTGGAATCACTAATAGAAGAATAGATAGACATATATCCATGTCAGTATATTGTACATAAAGTGTCTTAATATGTGCGTGATGGGATGCTTGCCTGTAAACTCTTTTGATCTCCTCAAGCTTTGCGTCCTTGTCCTCCAGCTGCTGTTTGAGCTCCTCCTTGCGCAGGCTCAGATGCTCGATCCGCTCCTTCAGCTCCGCCTGCTCAGATGTCTCCTCCCAGCTGCTTCTGGAACCTCTTCTGGGTCTGGACCGCCTCATCGCGCAGCCTGCGGGTCTGATCATCGCGCTCCTGCAGAGACTAGATAGCAGGAAGGCAGAGGAGAAAGAGAAAAGCGCACGTCTATGGATGTTCCAGGTTCTTTTTTTTAAACTTTATTTATCCAGGTAAAATCCCATTGAGATCAATGATCTCTTTTTCAAGGGAGACCTGCAGCAGTAGGTTCCACAAGAAGACATAAAAACATAAACAACAGAACAACAAAAGGACATCATACAGCAAAATGTACAGGGATTACAATTTACATATTTAACCACATGTACAGGTAGCCTACCAACAGCATCTGATTTTGTAGCATCCAACCGAGCTTTAAAAACATGTAGTGGTACTAGCTTGGTAATTTTCCATTCTTTTTGCAGACTGTTCCATGTTAGTGGAGCTGCACATCTAAAAGCTTTCTTCCCTAAGACAGTCCTAGCACTTGGTACATTTAATAAAACCACAGCATGCGATCTCAGGCAATAAGTACTTTCCATTCGCCGAGAGATCAGGGAGCAGATATAAGATGGTAGTTTATCCAACATGGCTTTGTAAATGAAAAAGTACCAGTGACTGAGCCTCCGTACAGTAAGTGATAAGATGTGATGGACCAAGGTTTTGGTTTTAGAACAACTCAGTGATTTCAATATTAAAAGTACCTCTTTGAGTCTGCGGATGGTCTCTGTCTGGTCATCAATGATTTTGGTTTTGATTTTTAGGGCATCAGTGTCTCTCTCGTTCAGTTTCTTCTGACTCTCCAGCTCAGCGCCCAGCACCTCTAACCTGGCCTCCAGGCGTCCACGATCCTGAGACAAGGATGCTCCTAGTATAGAGAAACACATACAATTGTAAATCAGATCTCATCTATAAAACTTTACTTTAACATCTATTATTATTATGTATCTTTTCGATCCCTTTTCTTTTTCTTATTTGAGTGCATTTTATTGCCTATATGAAGAATTATTTTCCGTCGTAGCATTTTCTACAGTGTACATTTACCATGCCCTGTGTGTTTCTCCCACATAACCACTAGATGACAGACTTTACTTGATACAGATGAAATAAAACATCAGCACATATAGTATTTAACCAAACAGCTCAAATGTCCTTCATACTGACTCTTAAGTTAACATTTAAGAGTGACTCACTCTGCCTATGACCAAGAGTTGGACTCAAGGAAGACCTGGGGCCTGTACTACGAAGCTGGTTCAACCTAACCTGGATATGTTTGAGTTAGCCGGTTGGCCTAATCCAAAACCTACGCGCTCTCGCTGAACGGTAATACGACCCGGGTTATCAAGTGGATCGGTCAAGCCAGCCGTGTCCTATCTAGTTAGGTGCGCGTTCACATGAAAGGGGTGGTATTTGGAGCATTCGACCAATCACAAACATGGAGAAGCGCACTGACAGCGCAGCGTCATACTTCCTGAATGAAAAGTCAACTATAATATTAGACAAATGAAGAAGTTAAACTTTAAACATCCATGACTTAAACACTTTATCCAGGATAAAAGCCACCTGCAAGGTGAATACAGCTGCTAACAGAAAAGTGTTGAATGCGTACATTAACAGGTTTATGATATCACTGCCCCGACACGAGTGGATCTGACTTTAATTACATTTGTCTCGAGTGTTTCGTCAACTTAATGTGTTGCTTAAAATAATATCTTCTGCATACAGTATGTGACACTGTGAGTGTTGCACGGCCAGATACGGCTCAGCTGAAGAAAATATATGATACATTATGAGGTGATATGCCGCGGACTGTACTTAATGTTACTCTGATCCGGTTACTTATGTTGTGGCAGATATTTAAGTAAGCTTTCTTAACGCTAATGTTATAATAGTCAGATTGCTCTGAAGATGGGAGGTGATATTCTATTAATGTTCACGTTCACACAGTCGGTGATTTTTGCCGGCCGTCTTTCCTGCAACGGCAGCTTTTCTGTATTTCCTTTCTCCTGTAATATGACTTGATCGCTTTAAACTCCGCACACTAACCTCTGATTGGTCAGCAGGCGGTGCTTTCACTGAGTTGAGCTCTTAGCCTGCAACCTAACCTGGGCCCGACCAGGTTAGCCGCACAGCATAAGTTACCATGGAGATCTAGCCTGCTAAAAAGAGAACCAGCTTCGTAGGACCGGAAACCCCGAGTTTTCCCTGAAGTAAGCCGGCTAAGCGAAAATCCTGCTTCGTAGTATACCGCCCTGTACTCATGTTTGAATGTGTGCGATGCACTATAAGGCTCATTCAGAGTCACCATCATGTGCTGGACGTCTCCCACCTTGCTGAGCGAGCTCCTGGCCCCAGATCTTCCTCTCGGCCCTGAGGCCGTCGATCACAGACTCCTGAGCTGTGAGCTGAGACAACAGTCGTCCCTTGTCTTTCTTAAGCAGCTCGAGCTGCAGGCTGAGACGCCGGTCCTGCTCTGCCTCTGCTTCCAAGGAATGCAGACGGCTCTGGCAGAGGGACAGACAGAGACGGACAGTATTAATGATCAACGGCCATCTGTCACGGCTGACAGATGGAAAGGCAGCTGGACGCTCCAGTATTCATGCTGAAGGCTCCTGAGGGCTCAGGCTGGACAATCTGTGGCCAGGCAATGACTGATGACCATAACAGGACATCTCTATTTTACCTTTTAGATTATTTATTTATGAAAAACCTGATCAGATAATGAATTCCTTTTTTAACATTAATATAACAAACAACAAATTCAAATATTAACAAAAACAGAAAAAAAAAGGTAATGGTTACATGTGTTCATTATTGAAGAAGGGTGTATACGAATATCTTGAGATTTATATATCAGTTAGTCCACTAGCATGTGCAGTGTCATAAAGCATCCATTTGTTCAATTTCACTACAACAACTTCTCTCTCTCACTAAATGCTTTTTTCCATTGTATAAATCTCTCTATATCATTTATTTGCTATATATTGGCTCATTCAGCCTTATATTAATTTATTCTCATTGTGTTCTTACTTGTAAACATTACTATGTTGATCAAATATCGATCATTATCAGTGACATTTATACTTTCAAGGTACCTGATGTTGCATTCCATAGGTAATGCATATCCCAGAATACCTTTTTACTACTTTTAAATGCATTTACCCATAATGAGTATTATTGATGATATTTTGGTTTACTTCTCTATTACTACATATCAACATGATTGTTGTTGACCAGTGTTTTTAAAGATGTATATAAGGGGTAATGAGTAGTAGTAGGTTAGATGATCCTTTTCTTATCCCGGATGTATCTGTCTGTATCTTTACTTGAGCGCAGTACCTTCAGAGCAGTGACAGCTTCTCTCTTGGCTTTGATGAGATCAGTGATGCGGTTCTTCTGTTCTTTGACCATGGCTGTGAGCTCCTGCACCAGAGAGGCTGATTTCTTCTCCCTCTGCTGGGACTGGGCCAGGGTCGCCTTGAGCCCCAGCAGCTCTGCAGTCATCTGATCACAAGCGTCCTTTACCTGCAGAAGCAGAGCGAGGAAGGGGGACAGAATGTGAGTGAGAAGTCTAGGAGTTCAACAGATTGAAGCATTACCTGACTACATTTTTTTTCAATCAATACCACATTCGGACAGAAAAGGTTCTTTAAAGAAAGCTATTTCGTTTTAAAGTACGAGTTTAAATTTTGCTGGCAATCTGTATCTCATTCAGACTTTTCTAAAGGTCAAACATAGTACACTTTAAGTACAAGATTGTGCAAGTTGTAGCAATAAAGACAAGATGAGATTTTCTGCAGAATGTCTGAGTGACCTGTAACCATAACGAGAACATTGATTAATATCCAATCCTTTTGTACAGCTTTCTTCCTGTGGCAATCACAGTCTACTTGTCCAGATTCACATGACCCTAATTCAATCTCAGCTTTCATCATTGGGCTGAACAAAAGAATCAAAGCGAGCCCATGTAGACCGGGGTCAATTCCAGTTCAATCATTTTACTTTTACTAGACCCAGTAATCATTAATCAGCTAAGTCTGTATTTTGGCAGACCTCAGAGAAGCGAGCAGCCTCGATGGTCAGCGCCATGCGAAACTCGTCCTCCAGAGCTGCGTACAGTTTCCTTCCCTCTTCTAGTTTCTCCTGCAGCTCCAGCACCCTGTGGCCATGCCTCTCTTCCACTGATGCAACCTCTTTAGCCACCGCCTCTCGGAAATCTGCCCCGCCGGGCTGCAACCGCAAATCCAGTTGTTTTCTGTGAGACAACGTGAAAAAGGATTGTACAGTTGATAAGACCTCTTTTTATAAAGGTTAGGAGGGCCTTAACACAAACAGGAAAGCCTGCACTTTGAAATGTGTGTAATTTAAATTGTGTACGTGAAGTAGATGTAATAATATTCTGAAATACAGAAGGTTGAGCACTCAACAATTTGGAAAGAGAAAAGTTTCAATGATCAATGTAACTGACATGTGCCAACACTCTTGGCGTTAGGTGTGTTAATATTTAAATGTGTTGCTATTAAAAATCTTTAATTTAGGTTTAACATTTCTTTAGTACTGTTATTAAAACAAATACCCTCTTTAATATCCCAACAACTTGATTCTTAAAGGATAAACTCACTGTTTCCAAGTCTATCGTACAAAACAATGTTCTTTTATGGAAAAACAATTTGTACTCAAAAGTAGGGTTGGGAACCGAAACTCGGTTCCAGATGAGAACCGATAAGAAAATGCCGGGTACCGGGTGCCCATACAAAATACACAATTTCGGTTCTGCTTAACGGTTCCTAAACGCGGTAGACCCTGTATTCCAGCGGGTCCGTCTGCACCGCGGTGCTGCGGTGACCCGTGGAATACAGGGCGGACCTGGAGAATCACAGAACGGCCGGTCGTCAGCGGGCCGTTGACGGCCGGCTCGGTACGCTGACGGGGCACCGCCCTTCATTTTTTTAAATGGCATCATATAAATTGCGCTGACAGGCGACAGAGGTCCACAGTTGCCCCGCAGCGATGCTCCCCCGCCCTCCCGTAGACATTTCACGAGCTCAGTCACTTCATAACACCAAAGATAGGTCGCGGTAAACACTCTGAAGTGAGGCTCCACTACACTAAAAAGAAAAAGAAAAGGCAAAGTGTAATGCCTGTTAATAGCTTGCCACAGGCAAGCTCAGTTAAAATAAAGCACAGCTATTGTGCAATACATTTGTATTGCATGTATATTTTTAGTAACAATTTCAGTTAAAGCTTTTAAGAATAAATATATTTTGTTATCTAAACGTTTGACCTCTTTATTTTACAATTTTGGAATCGAAACGGGGAATCGATAAGAACCGGAATCGATAAGCAGAACCGGAATCGAAATCGGAATCGATAAATTTCAAACGATACCCATCCCTACTCAAAAGGCTGTAACTTTGAAAGATGTCCTTTTGATTTGTCTCGTTAAATATTCATGTTACAATTGAAAAGGCATTTTATTGAAACACAGATTTTTATATTGGCAGAAAATGTGGTATTCATACACTTACAGGAAGAAGTTGATTAAGAATATTGATTTTCATCCCATAACACTGTGTTGATATTAAGCAACACATGACCCCGTCCATGTGTTTCAGAGTAAGGTCCTCCAGGTGTACCTGTGCTCCTGCTCCCTGGCCGCCAGCAGCTCATGCAGCTGCTGCAGTTTGTCTTTGTGCTGACGCACTGCCGCTCTCAGGATGTCCGACTCTCTTCAGAGCTCCTGCCTTGTTCTCCAGCTCCTGGTGCCGCTTCATCTGAGGAGGGTCAGCAAGTTTTAAATCAATACTGTCAGAGCTCTACTGAAGCC